CACTCTTCGGCCCGTTCCAAACGCCGCTCCATTCATGCACTGAACCTAACTGATGAGTTAAGTACAGCAGAAGAGCGGCGTTTGAATCAGTTTGGTTCAGCAGGTTAGGTTTGGTGCAGCAAACAACATTAAATTTGGCAGGGTCTGTCACACTATGCGACGTTGGAATGACAGCTGATTCATACGGCGTTCCCCTCATGTGTCAAACCTAATGCATAAATTACTGTAATGTATTTTTTATATAACGGGACTCGTGATTGGCTCAAAATTGAGTGGCATGACTAGACATGCATGAAGCTCGAAGTCGTCACTAAAAATAAACGCAAAAAAATATGCCTTCGGTTTATGAGTTTCTTTAGCACAAATTCATTTTTTGCTTTTTCTTCGTGATAATAGCTCAGCTTATGAGATTTCCCTTTATCAAGTCAAATTAACTGGGAGAAACCTATCTAAATACAAACTGGACATTGAGTTTAAATTTGCTTCCCAAAATATTGCTATAATCGGCGAAATGTTAGTCACAGCTTTTCTATCTGGACAGAGTTCTTGAATTCAGAAGACATATTTCTTGTCGAAAATTGTTACCACCGGCCTCCCGAATTAAGTTCGACACACGTACGCCGTCTGAACCAGCCGTCGCTCCAAAGTCGCTCTAAAGCCGAACTTAATCAAGTTTGGTTCGGCACATGAGTGGAGTGGCATTTGGACTGGGCCTTAGAGCGTCTAGTTGATGTGGTTAAAGCTCTTTGCTGTCTAAAGCAAGCACAGCATTATAGCCATAACGCAAATGGCCTAATTATGGGGCTAAATGGTGACCCGTTACATCTCAGTACCATTTCATGTATGACACTCACTAGCAAATCATTTGACTTGCACCTTCATGGGACTTAATGATGTCCTTGGACAGACTTCCTTTAGACAGCAGTTATAGAACGCTAGTTGATTAGCTCCTACTCTGAGTCACAGTGCAAACTGAAATTCAGACAGGTGTAGACACAAATGGAAAAGGGGATGGGGGTAGCCATGAATAAAAAAATAAAGAGAGAAATGAAACATGCAGCAAGCAGTTCTCAACATTTCAGGCTAGATAAGCTCTACAAGCTGGTGCAATTAGGAAGCAAAAATAAATAAATAGCAAGTTATATGAATGAAGGGGTTCAGTTCTACAGGCATGTTTTTGGAGAATCAGTCAGATCGATTTCTACAATAACTGTCTAATTTCTCGCGCACTGAATGGCTCATTTTTATCATCAATAAGAGTACAGACGGATAAAATTTTAATTTGTGCAAGTTTTCAAGTTCAACTTCCAGCTGTCATACTGTCAACTTTTTAAGCAATGAGATTTTATGGACTTTTTTACGTAGCCAATCAAAAAGCGAGAAAAGCTATTGACAATGTTTGCATCATTTTGAATAAAATTCACTTCTCTTTGTTTACTTCAAGTTTATGGCGTCTTTTCCACTCATTTATTCCTGGCATCTGACCATTTTGGGGTCTTGTTGTTGTAAAAAAAACAAATTGACATCAGTTTTTTATGAATATATAAAATATATGCTTGTAAAAGAAAAGAAAAAAGCAAATTTATTTTATGGAGTTGTTTTTAATTCCAGTGCCTGTGGCACCAAGAACTTTGCAGCTGACATTTGTCACTTCCTGATGTAAGTTTAGAATTTCAAAATACAGTACACTGTAGTTCTAAACCAAAATGCCATCTAAAGTAAACATATTAATTATACCTGTATTTACTGGCCAGCTCTTCAAAGAGAGAATCAAAACAAAACCAAATTATGCTCACTAAGCATTCCAGTCGACAGAGAATCTTTAAAATGTGTTCCCATATATGTAATGTCTGCAACAAATTATTATTTTGTTATGTCCACAACACATATTTTTATTGAATTAAACCAAAAGGTTGGAATATTGTTTAAAAAGGAACTCATTTATATTGGAAGATATTTTACTACAGTGCAAAAGTGATGCATGAGATTTTTCAATGAAATTCCTTGCTTTTCGTGGTTTCTTGAGGCAATTTTGTTTGAAACAATATTTCGCTGATTTTTTTGCCGCAATTTTGCAATGCCTATTGTTTCAATCTGCGTGATTTTTCGAACAACAATTCGCTCTTCCTGAAAATTCGTTGCGAATTTGTGAAACTTTTGTGAAACTTTTGATAAGCATGATAAGACACAACTTTTGGCAGAGTTTAAGAAGAGCTGTAATTATGGTGTTTTTATGAGGTCATACCATTGCTATGATAACCTTTTGCGGCACGAAAATGATAACGTGTTCACCAATGATTGGGCAGTTTTTTGATACCATGATTGCAGCATCAAGTGATATGATAAAGAGCGGTTATAAAGACCCATCAAAATCTAAATACTGAAAACTGTTTTGAGCCACCTTAATTACACAAAATGTTCTTACTAAGCTTAGGAGACATCAACATATTTCTTATTCTCTGTCAAATGTTCACTGGATGTTCTGGGGGAGGGGGTAAAGAGACTCCATTTTTGGACATTATTAGTGCAAGGCATTTTTGACCTAAAGCAAAATGATCATTTTTAATAAAGTTTTCACCTGCGCATGAGATTCACCAGTTAAAAAAGACAGTTAAAAAGACCTTAAGGAGGCTCAAAAGGGTTTTCCCTGGTTAACAGTGCGTGTCCAACGAAGAAAGATTACAACACTGTTGTCCCTATCAGAAGAGCAATGTTTTGTCATCTAAATAAAACTATTATCGTAAAATTTTTTAAGGGCGTTTGCAATGTCCCAACGGTTGCTACAACCCTCCAAGTTAAGTTATTTCCTTAGTGGCCATTTGGCCACTGACTGTTCAGGTTTGGTCGCCAGTGAAAAATTTTAGTCGCCAAAATATATGCATAAATTAATAATCAATTAATGATAAATAATAATCTTATTATTATCTAACTGTATTATTAATAACATTTTCCTTGAACAAACAAGTAAATTGAAGTCCCGTTCAGTGAAAGAACTACCTAATGTTGATTCAAATATGCTTTTATTGGAATG